AAAAAATACTCTCTCTAAAAGAAAGTTTTGTGTGGGCTTAGTAAGCACGATGGAGATAACAGAGAAAAGAGTCAGTGAACTTGAAGACAGAGAACTCAAAGTAAGAAAGTGAAAAACGATTAAAACAAAAAAGAACAGAGAGCCCATGGACTTGTGCAATAATAACTAAAGGTCAAATACAAAGATAAATGGATTCTTGCCAAACAAAACAAGAGAATGGGGCAAAAAGAAAAAAGAAATTGAAGAAATAATGACCAAAAGCTTCCCAAATTTGATGAAAGACATTTGCAGATTCAATAGGCTCAGTAACCAGGATGAACTACAGTTTTTACAATCAAATTGTTGAAAACCAAAAATTAAACAAAAATCTTAAAAACAGAAAGAATAAATCAACAAATTATATACAGGGGAACAGTAATTTGAATGACTGCAGAACTTTTCACCAGAAACCGTGGGGGCCAGAACACAGTGGAATAGTACTTTAAAGTGCTAAAAGGAAAAAAAAAAGCTAACCTAAAATTCTCACATGAAAAATACATTAAAAAATGTAGGAAAAAAATACGACTTAGAGAAAGCAGACACAGATAAAAAAAAATTCTATTATGATAAACCTTGGAAAGACAAGAGAAAACACTGTACCTATGAAATAACTGGTGCTATAAAAACTGAAAAATCACAAAAAAAAAGCATTCTGGAAAATTAAAAATATAATTATAGAACAAAAACCCTAGAGGTTCAGAGTTGGAACATCAGTAAAGGAATACTACCAGAAGGTACAGAAAAGATGATGAGATGGAAAATAGAGAAAAGGAAAAATCAGGTGTTCAATCCAGATCTGACATACAAATAAAAGAAAACAAAAGAAAAATAATGAAAGATAAAGAAAATTCTCTGGAACTAAATTCACTTAGATTTCAGATGGTAAAAATCTATTAATATTTAGTATCCAGTAAAAGAAAACAGTTCATCTTAAAATTTGTAAGACAGGGTTCAAGGAGAAAATACCAAAACTTCTAAAAAGAAAAAAAGTATCACATACATAGACCAGAAATGTAAAGGACTTTGATCTTCTCAATACCAAGCCTGGAAACTAAAAGACAGTGGATTAACACTCTCAAAATTCCGTGGAGAGGCCGGGCGCGGTGGCTCACGCCTGTAATCCTAGCTCTTGGGAGGCCGAGGCGGGCGGATTGCTCAAGGTCAGGAGTTCAAAACCAGCCTGAGCAAGAGCGAGACCCCGTCTCTACTATAAATAGAAAGAAACTAATTGGCCAACTGATATATATATATATAAAAAAAAAAAAAAAAATTAGCCGGGCATGGTGGCTCATGCCTGTAGTCCCAGCTACTCGGGAGGCTGAGGCAGCAGGATTGCTTGAGCCCAGGAGTTTGAGGTTGCTGTGAGCTAGGCTGACGCCACGGCACTCACTCTAGCCTGGGCAACAAAGCGAGACTCTGTCTCAAAAAAAAAAAAAAAAAAAAAAAAAAAAAAATTCCGTGGAGAAATGATTTCTAACCTAGAATCTAAAATCTAGCCAACCTATTACTAAAGAATGAGGATAGACTAAAAACATTTTCAGATAATGTCTCAAAATTTACCTATCATTCATCCTTTCTCAGGAACTACTAGAAGTGCTCCAACATGGAATTCACCAACAAGACTTGATTCAAAAAAGAAACTTGTCAGCTTGATGAAAGAAGGCACACCGCAGATGACAACTATGTACCAGATGGGAAGAGCAACAGGTCAGAGAGAAACAGGTAAGGAGGTCTCAAGAGATCCGGCTCTAATAAAAGTAGACTAATGTGTTGGAAAATAATGACAGGAGATTTAGACAACCAGGTTAAAGTCTGCAGCTGAATTATAATAAGTATATAGAAAAATAAACAATCAAAAAGATAATTTTTAGTTCAGAGAAAATAAAAATTGGGCAAGAATGAAAATTAAACAGCATATTGCGTGGCTGTACTGTAATTTAGCAATTTCATTCAGTCATAATAAACAATGAATATTACTCTATCCCAAAGTATTTTGTGGCATACTGGAAAGATGGGAAGACAGGAAGTTGCATGCATGGTGGTTATGAGGGGCAGTGAAAGAAGGCTAAATACTCATCTTTCATAGAACAGATATTACCTAAAACTGAAAAATATCAAGAAATTATAACTAATGACATTATTTAGATATAGCTATAAATACCAAATGAAATAGCACAAAGAGTTGGAAGTAATTGCTTCTGGGGTATGGGAAACTAGGAAAGGGGAAGAGTGAATTAGGAAATGCAATTGTTTATAAGTTTAATACAATGACTCTTTAAATTTTGTTTTGAGAAAAATAAAAACTAAATTAAAAAGAGAAAAGTAATGACAATAGCAAGGCCAAAAGAACACTCCTAGATGCAGATGGGGTGAAAAATGAAAAGAAAGTACTTCAGAATATTTACATGGTATGGCTGAAGGGTGGAAGCACCATTTTAAAGTATATTAATTTGCTTATTTAAGCTTAAGTTTAAGCATAAATAAGGATTTAGGCTTAAAGTTGTTCTAAGACAATGATTTGACTATTATAAAATTTAGAACATTTAAAAATAAAATACACAAAAACTCATATCCATAAACAAAATTAAAAGGCAAAACAACATTGAGGAAAATATTTGCAACATATTCTCAAGTAAACAATTTTTATATACTTATAAATGAAGAGTTCAAGAGCAACTGAAAATGGAGGAAGAAAATGAATAAGCAATCCACAAACAGAAACATAAATAGCTAATAAATATGAAAAAATGTTCATCTTCTTTAGTAATCAAAAATGCAAATTAAAATAAGAGATCTTAATTTTGGCTTACTGAATTACCAAGAATAAAGAGGCAAAAACAATATTGATAAGAATATGGAAAAAAGCATTTTCATATGGTGTTGAAAGACATAAATAAAACACTTACTAGAGGGTGTTTGGGAAATAGTTTATATATCAAATGTTTTCAAAAATGCACATCAGGGCCGGGCACGGTGGCTCACGCCTGTAATCCTAGCACGCTGGGAGGCCGAGGCAGGCAGATTGCTCGAGGTCAGGAGTTCGAAACCAGCCTGAGCAAGAGCGAGACCCCATCTCTACTAGAAATTAATTGGCCAACTAATATATATAGAAAAAATTAGCCAGGCATGGTGGTGCATGCCTGTAGTCCCAGCTACTTGGGAGGCTAAGGCAGTAGGATTGCTTGAGCCCAGGAGTTTGAGGTTGCTATGAGCTAGGTTGACGCCATGGCACTCACGCCTAGGTGACAGAGTGAGACACTGTCTCAAAGGAAAAAAAAAAAAAAAAAGAAGCACATCAGAATTTATCCTAAGGAAATAACTGAAAACATTCACAATGACTATAAAGTGATATTCATTCATAGTCCCTTATAATGATGAAAAATTGGAAACCTATGAGACAGAATATCATGCAGATTATCAAAGTTTTATACTATAAAAATAATTACAGAAAATAAAATATGATACAAAAGTCGAATGTATAAAGCTAAACATTAGAGGGCTGTCTGGAAAGTATCCAGCCATGTAATATGAAAAATATATTAACAACGGCTAGATATTTTCCAGACAACCTTTGTATGTATGCAGAAAGAAAGAAGACTGAAAAGACAAACCCCAAGCATGAATGAGAAGTTGTGCATGTGGTGGTGTAATGTGTTTCCGTATTTTCAAGAGAAACCATAATGCTTAAGTAGTCTGAACACAAAATGAACAATAAACAATAAAGGAAAAAGGATAAAAAGGAGCTAAACACAGACTTTTGTACTTACCAAAAGTCTGTTAAATATATTGTTACTCATTTTGGGAGGTTCTTTTAAAAAAATCTGCAAACTAATAGTTGTACATATTTTGAAGAGTAAGATAATATATTTATAAGAAACAAGTGCTCTGTCAATGGGTTGCTAATCTATAATGAATGTATAGACTACAAAGCTGCTTTATCAGTTTTGATTTATTCCTATAACACAAGACTCAAGAATTCTTTACATATAAATCTCTATTACAAAGCTTTGAGGAATTCTTTCATTGCCTAACCAGATTTTGAAGAATTATTTATATAACATTAAATGTCAGCATACCCATAATTAAATTTGTCATTTCCTTTAATATTCTTTCTATAAAATACATGTGATGTGTATGGACAAACAGAATCTTAAAAGAATAAGAACATATGTTAAGACACTTGAGATTTGCTATGAAAACCAAGATTTTCTTTAAACTTAGCAATGCCTGGGCTACTAGTTTCTATAACCTTGATAAGTCTTCCATCATTAAGAGTAAATTTTAAAAACTCATTTATAATCTTTAGATCACTGATGTATCATAATGACTGAAAATCTAAGATACCAGGTATAATGTAACAAATATAGTTCCCACACAGAATCCAAATAACCCATATAACACCAGACTTTTCCCCTGCATGAATTTAGGTTGAAGGAATTATAGGAATATAAACAAGGAAATAAATAGGGATACCATAACTAGTATATCGCAAAACTTAGAGGACTCTGAGAAAGGACATAAAATATCCCTAAATTCTTTCTCTGTGAGTTGCCAGCGTATGCTCTTTTAGAAACTTGATATAGTGATAAATTTCCAGGATATATTTCTATCATCATTATAAAGCAACAAAAATGTAAATACATTATTTTCTTAATCCTTTCTAATGCTATTTGAACTCTGTTTCCTCCAAACAAAGTGAATATAAATAAACATATAGGATTTTTTTAAAGCAAGGACTCCATGTTATAGGCTCTGAAATTCACTCCAGACACTTAAATTTGAGTATACTTGGTCATAAAAATCTAACTCTGAATTTTAGTCAATCTTTCAGAGGAGAGTCCTTTTCTCCATTTTTAAATGTTTTGCTGTTATTGAAACATAATTTTTGAATGGGTCAAAAAGACATCAAATGAAAGGAACTTCCTGCAGTGTTGGATGCAGAGCTTTGACACAAGTCTCACCTTCTCTGGATGAGATAATCCTCCAGGATATCGAGGCAGCGCACCATCTGGGAGAAGATGAGTACCTTGTGGCCACCTGCAATCAGCTTAGGGAGCAGTTTATCGATCAGCACCAGCTTCCCGGCTGCCTGAATCATGGCCTGCAGCTGAAAGTCAGGGGCATCAGGGCTGTGGTATTTTCGGAAATCTTCCAGAATTTTCTCCTCTGCCCCTGAAAAGGAATGGAACAAAACTATTCTTTGAACAAAACATAATGGTAAAAGTTGCTCTCTGCTTTGCAGAACCTGGGGCAAATGAAGTGAATTCTTTGGCCCTAGTGAGGAGATGCTAGGTGTGCGTCCCTGGTCTTGCCCTCAGCAGCAACAGCAGGGCCATCTTGTAGATAACACAGGGCCTTGGCTTTCCTGGGAAGTCTCACCAAAGGAGACAAGATTTGACATATCAAGTCCTAACCTAAACTGACTCACTCAAGTAAAGAAACCTTCCCAGAAAGTTGGCAACAAAAAGACCTTCACACCTCTTGACATCACAAAGACTAGCTGTAAGAGAATCCAAGTCACATTTTGATTGAAAACTTTCTCCAAAAGTTTTATTGTAAAAAAAACCTTCCAACATCTTCTCTAACCAATTAACTATTAATTTGTCTGCAGAAAACTTTAATCTCATTGTAGCATTTTCATTCATTCAACTAAGTAATACATTTCCCTATCCTCAGTGGGAAAGTGTGGGCTAGACTTTGAGCAAATAAAGGGCATCTGATGAGTGGTATCTACCTTCTGCCAAGCTGAGTATGTACTGTGAGGCAGAGTGTCGATACAAGTTAGTTCAAAACTTGGCACTGTGTGTACTTAATACCTAGATGGCTTAAGCAAATCCATCAACCTCTCTGAACCTCAGTTTTCTACTCTGTAAAAAAGTGAAAGCACATACATCATTCTAGCATACAACGGGAAGCCAATACATGAGTTTTTGGACTATCATTAGCTTCTGGCAGAGGCCTATGCCAGTCCTGAGGTACTCCCTAATGTCCTGACTTACCATTGATCAGGTAGGGATGGTTACAGCACTTTCTCAGCTCCATCATGGTATTGATCAGATTGGGCATGTTGTGCTGATTTGCTCCTTTGGTCAGAAAGGAAAAGTTCTTCTCCAGGATGGCACGGTAGTACTTTTTCTGGATATTGGTCAGTTCTACCTCAATGATCGTCTCTTGTTTGGGAGCAAGGTTCTTTTCCACATCATCTTTTAGCCTCCGAAGCATCATTGGTTTCAGGATAGACTGCAGTTTCTTTACCTGTCCAAGGAAAAGAGACCTAGGGACCTGCCCAATCTTGATTTAATAATTACTAGAGTATTCCAATCTTCTCTATAATCTCTTGAACATCTATTCATAGTACTGTGGTAGAAGACTAAAAGAAAGATCATGATTGATTCTTGAAAATGAGGAGTATACAACAGTACTGAAAGGAAAAAAAGGATCTGGTTTTAATTCACAAGCAATTACTAAGAATCTATGTGGCAATCTCACAAGATAAAAAGGGAGAAAGACACAAAAGACAGAACCTGTCGCTAGGATGGAGAAAACAAATCTCTCTCTCGCTCTAACACATGCACAGTAATTACTTGAATATTTTAAGTCATGTTAGGAGGTGCAAGTGATATAATACAAAGGGAAGACAGATGCTGAAAGAACAGTCAGAAGTAGAGGCAATCTGGAAACGGTTTCCTCCTACATGTTTTAAATAACAACAGCAGCATACATGTTTGAAGGTAGCATTATGCAAAGAATTAATGTTGAAGGTGACATCTATCATTCCATCATGGAATCTGTCAAATCAGGGGTACTTTAAGTCTGATAGTGTTTTGTGCTGCTATTTATCTGCTCTTCTCCTAACAGCCCAAGCCTGGACAGCAGATCTTTACACACTTGACTGCACTTGCAAGGTGACTTGTTTCCTCTCACAGTAAGACAATGACAGACTAAGAGATTCAAAACCAAAACACCTGAGTTAACCTAGAGCTAAAACATGATACCAGTAAGATTAACTCTGATAGAAAAATAAAATAGAGAAAAATGAAAGTGCAAAAGAAATCAAGGTTCAAGTCAGAAAGGGCTGTTCAAAAATTTTAAAAGGGGCAGAGCCTGCATAAATAAGTTGTATGCTGTGGCAATGCTTCCTGAAGGAATATGAAGTGATCTACAGAGAGTGATTTAGAAGAGTTACTTACAAAAGCAGGTTTTAGACAATGACGAATATGCTTTATTTTGTAAACAGATGCTTTCTAGAACTTTTATTTAGTGTGTTTTAAAATATAGACCTCTCATAGAAGCAGAGAGCAGAATGATGATTACCAGGGACTGGGGTGGTGTGGTTGGATGGGGATTTGGGAGATATTGGCCAAAGGATACAAAATTTCTGTTAGATAGGAGGAATAAATTCAAGAGATCTATTTCACAACATGATGACTATGGTTAATTACAATGTATTGTATTCTTAAAGATATCTAAGGGCACAGATTTTGAATATTCTCACCACAAAAGGTATGTGAGGTAATGCATGTTAATTACCTCAATTTAGCCATTCCACAGTATAAACATATTTCAAAACATCATGTTGTACGCTATATAATTTTTGGCAATTAAAAAATAATTTTAATAATTTAAAAATAAAATACAGATATTTGATATCATTTTTATGGTTTTCTCCTACCTAACGCCAATTTTAAACCTAACCCTTCATTTTACTTACCAAAGGTACTTAGGAATCTAATCCCCCAAATGGGTAAGGAATTACCATATAAGAACCCCAAGAGAAAAGACACAGCTAGCTAATTGTTAAAGATAGGGACAGATGTCAATCTGCCACATGCTGGGTTCAACTTTTGCCCTTCACTTGGTTCATACCTTGAATCATTTAGAGTATACTATATGCCAGACACTGTGTTGGTCAATACAACAAACACAACTTTGGAGAAGATGTGGGCCTTGTCCTCTAGGAGATCACTGTCTAGGAAGAAGAAAAGACGCATACCACGAATTAAGTGCAATGGGAGAAGAGGATGCATTTCTAATGGTCCAAAAATGGAGAGAAGGTTGGAGCTGGCTTTTGAAAGATTAACAGATATTGCAATGTAGAGAAGGTGAATTAAGTTTGATCATTCACTGCTCTCAAAGTCTGACTTGTATCAGAAGTAGAAACAGATTGGAACCACAGAGTGTACTCTTGACATCTGCTAGTAGAATTCCCAAACCTTTCAGTTCCCAAATTCTCTGTCCCAACCCACTTCTACAGCACTGCTAGATTAATTTAGCAGAATTAATTATGTCACTCCTGCAAAAAAGCATAGTTTTCTGTTACCTACCAAAGTCTTTCACAGTCTTCCAATAATATAATCCTAAACCTCTCTGGCCTCATACTCCCCAATTCATCCACCTTCTTTTCTGCTCAAACAGATGATTCCCCACTACTAAGTTCCATGGCTCTTATTATACTGGTTTCTTCCTATGCAAAGTGGTCACTACCTCTTTTCTCTTCACCTGTGAAAACTTACCCATCCCTCAAAATGCATTTTCAAACTGTACTCTCTTCCTGAAGTCCTTACTGATTCTCAGACAGATGTAACATATCTCTCCTTTAAAGTCCCCAACTCTATTATTGTTCCTCTATGGCACTGAAATTTCTCTGGCTTGCTTCTATAATTCCTAGTATTCTACTCACAGTATACAGATATTTATTAATATTGGTTGTTTTGAATCAGCTTTAAATCTAACAAACTAGACTTGGGACTGCACCCTTGAAAACTCAGGAAATTCATTTGATCTGGACAAAACTGGACTTATCAACCACTCTAGGTGTGTGACTGCCTTGTATTGTATTGTACTCAAGAAGATGGGCCCGGGAACAAGCTGCAGATTATGTAGGAGGAAGGAGGAAGGATGAGGGAAGCAGAAGAAAGCACCATGTTCCCGAGGCCAGAGCTATAAGCAAAATCACTGAACACATAAGTGAGATCAGTGAAGCAGGAGGCCTGATACACCAACACAAGATATTTTGGGTGCTGACTCATCTATCCTTTTGAATAATAAGAACTGTTAATAATCAGCTTACCCTCCCCAACATAAACAAGTGCATAAGATAAAGGGGATTAGTAATGCTCATTTTACAAGGGATGCCAGAACTTGCTAAGTCCTGTCCCCATGGTGACCTGCTCTTTCTTCGATGAATGTAATCATCACATTGTCTCCTCAATCCGTTGGGCCTCTAATTACCTGTTCCTCTGTTTTCAGATCTCCAAACTCCTCTAAGAAAGCAGTCTCTGAAGGAAACTGTGATGGCTCCAGAAAATTTAGCAAACTGAAGAGCTCCTCCACAGAATTCTGCAACGGTGTTCCTGTGAGAAGCACTTTATGTTCCTGCACAAATTAAAAGGACATGAACAGTGTTGAGCCATCAAAACCGTATATTTTAGTAGGGAAAATTAACCCAGGGCATTTTGTGCTCAATTTGGGGCAATTCTATTCTGCTTTAATGAAAAGACAGTGTGTCAACACTTCATAGGGTTACAGTCAATAAACGATCAACCTTCCTTTCACATCACTGATTCTAGCAGCAATTTCAAGTTAATTAAAGCAACTATTCATTCACTAAATATTATTGAGTGCCTACTCACCACACACTGGGCACTGTGCCAAAACAGTAATGTTAAAAGGCCATCATCTTTGGTATCAGTTCATTCAGGGATCCATAAACAAGTCAAGACATCTTACATTTTCAAGTCACAAATTTCATGCTATTTAAGAGCCCTCTAAGGCCCTTTGGAAATCAATCTTTGTCAAAGGCTAAATTGTTGACCCAGTTTGTGATAAAAAAAAAAAAATTATTCCTGTACTATTATGGCTATAGAGGGCAAAAAGAAAATCTAGAGTAAAAGGACTATGTATAAGTAAGGTAAATGCAAAATAGCTATAGGATGCTTCCTCTAAATTGAATAGAAGGAACCTCTCTTTATGTAAAGAGCTGCAGACTCTCACCAGGGCCATGAGCTTTAGACCCTCCAGAAGTTTGCAGTTCCTATTCTTCAATCTGTGAGCCTCATCAATTATCACACAGCTCCAGTGAATCTTCTTCAGCTCTGGGCAGTCTGCCAGGATCATCTCAAATGTTGTGATGACAACATGGAACTTGAAGACTCCTGAAAGGGGGTTTCCCTGAGGATGACACAACCAAAGTCAATGCTTTACACCATAGCTATAGAATTCTGCTAATGGGTTACCTGCTGGGTTAGAGGAAGCAGCACTATAAATACTAGACTTAAGTGAGAAGCCAACAAGTACTGCATTCCTCATGTGAGAAAAAGAGACTGTAAGAATGAACCAGCTATTTAGACAAAAGAGAGAGACCTCACAACATCAACTGGACAGAAGCAAAGCCGCATTTGCCCTTATGAAGGTGAGAATGATGAGCAATACGGAAGATACAGCTAGGGAAATTTTTATTTTTTAATTGCCATAAGGAAAGCAGATGGGTGTTGGTTCATGCATTCCCAGCCAAGAGTGGGTCTAAACCATGCATAGCTTGAATGCCCAAAGAAACCCTCTGCTACTTTTCAGATTTAATAAATTTCACCTTGTAACTTGGGTTCTCTACTATAGATTCGAAGTAATGATCCTGATTCACCTAGGACAAGGGCAACCAGGCAGGACACAGCTTTGTTTTTTAGCCTGTCTTGGTGCTGCCATCACATTTCAGTAGCAGAGTTGCATGTTGGAGCACATCTTAAATTTCTTCCAAGTGTCTCTTTCTGTTGTATATGAAACCCCTAGGGAGAGCATAGGCTTTCCTCTGATTGAAGTAATTTAATTTTTACCTTGCTTAATTATAAAAATCAGTGCCCAAGACACACATGCAACCATACAAAGTGACTGCACTTCACAAAAGCTTTTTTTTTAAAAGTTTTGTTGTGCTTTTAACTTTTTTTGTTTTTTTAGGAGACAGAGTCTCGCTCTGTCACCCCACCTAGATGTGGTGGCATCATCATAGACAGCTCACTGCAACCTCAAACTCCTGGGCTCAAGTGATCCTTCTGCCTCAGCCTCTTATGTAGCTGAGACTACAGGTGGGAACCAACACGCCCAGCTAATTTTTCTATTTTTAGTAGAGGTAGGGTCTCGCTCTTGCTCATTCTGGTCTCTAACTCCTGACCCCAAGTGATCCTCCCGCCTTGGCCTTCCAGTGCTAGTGCTTTTAACAATTTGAAACTTGTTTTCTCTTTCTCCCTCCCTGTGGAATCTGTTAACCTCCTCTCTGAATTTCCTAGCTGGGAATCCATTCTCTGTACACAAATTCTTTCACTCACTTTCTTCACTGAGCACACAACAATTCAGATAAAATCTTCTGCATATAAAAGTAATTTTATAAGCCAACCAATAAGCCACACCTTCAGTGTCCTGAAAAAGGCCTCTGGTATATCTCAGAGAGTTTGAAAAACATGTCTTACAATCCTATGTTTTATCATCATAAATTATTTTAATTTATGTAAACAAAATTAATTCAATTAACAATTAATTGAAATTATTTTAGTTTATTTTAAACTACTAAAGAGGAACAAAAAGTCAGCTTCAACAAACATGATTTTACAAAATCAGTCAACAGTAACTCAAGATACTGGGCACTAAAACCCACGAAGATAAGTGGCAGAAAGGCTGTTCTGAGCTCAGGCAGTCCCTGGTCTTTGTGATTAACGAGGCTCACCTGTGCGTCTCTGTACACCATTTCATACTGCTGAATCATCTGCCTGCTGATCTGGCTGCCGTGGTACACAATGGCATTCATCTCTGTCCAAGTCCTGAACTCCCGCTCCCAGTTAGTGATGGTGGAGAGAGGGGCAATGATGAGAAAAGGGCCGTGGATTCCCCTGAGGAATATTTCTGAAAGGAATGTGATGGACTGGATAGTTTTCCCTAGGCCCATCTCGTCAGCCAAAATACAGTTTTTTCTGCAGAGTGTGAGAAATATAGTAATTTATTATCCATACAGAAAAGTTGTAGAGGTTGGTTATAACTAAAAAAGACGTTTCAGAAGTACACTGTTACCTGTAATATCACCAGTAAAAACTTTATCATCATTTTACAGAGATTAAACTGAAGCTAGTTTTTATTATTATCATCACTCATACCCTGACTACTTTCAAAAAGGAACTACATTAACTTAGGAAAAAATACAGTTATGCGCCACTTAATGACAGGGACATGTTCTGAGAAATGTGTCACCAAGCAATTTCATCATTTTGCAAATATCTGAGTGTACTTACACAAACGTAGATTGCATAGCCTACTCCATACCTAGGCTATAAATCTGCATAACATGTTACTGTACTGAATACTGTAGGCAACTGTAACATAATGATAAATATTTGTGTATCTAAATGTATGTAAACATAGAAAAGGTGCAGTAAAAATAGGGTATAAAGGAAGAAAATAGGTACACCTGTATAGGGCACATATGGAGATTACAGGACTGGAGATTGCTCTGGGTGAGTCAATGAGTGAGTGATGAGTAAATATGAAGGCCTAGGACATTACTATCTAACACTGTAGACTTTATAAACACTGCACTTATACTACACTAAATTTATTTTATTTTTTTATTTTGGTTTCTTTTTTTTTTTGAGAAGAGTCTCACTTTGTTGCCCAGGCTAGAGTGAGTGTCGTGGCATCAGCCTAGCTCATAGCAACCTCAAACTCCTGGGCTCAAGTGATCCTACTGCCTCAGCCTCCAGAGTAGCTGGGACTACAGGCATGCACCATCATGCCCAGCTAATTTTTTCTCTATATATTTTTTTCGTTGGTCAATTAATTTCTTTCTATATTTAGTAGACGGGATCTCGCTCAGGCTGGTTTTGAACTCCTGACCTCAAGCAATCTGCCTGCCTCGGCCTCCCAGAGTGCTAGGATTATAGGCGTGAGCCACCACCCCCGGCCTAAATTTATTTTAAAATATTTTCATGTCTTCAATAATTAACCTTAGCTTACTATAATTTTTTTAATTTATAAATAAACATTTTTAAATTTTTTCTTCTGTAATAATACTTAGCTTAAAACACAAATACACTGAACAGCTGTACAAAAATATCTTCTTTATATCCCTATTCTATAAGCCTTTTTCTATTTTCAAAATTTTTTATTTTGTTTTGCTTCTTAAACTTTTTTGTTAAAATCTAAGACACAAACACACACATTAGCCTAGGCATATACAGGGTCAGGAAAATCAACATCACTCTCTTCTACCTCTGCATCTTGTCGCACTAGAAGGTCTTCGGGAGCAATAACGTGTGGAGCTGTCATCACCTATGATGACAATGGCTTCTTCTGGAATATCTCCCGAAGAATCTACTTGAGGCTGTTTTTACAGTTAACTTTTTTTTTAATAAGTAGAAGGGAATACACTATAAAATAACAATCTAAAGTACAATGTAGTAAATGCATAACCAGTAACAGTCATTTATTACCATTATCAAGTATTATGTACTGTACACAATTGCATGTGCAAGATTTTTATACAACTGGCAGCGCAGGTTTGTTTACACCACTATCGCCACAAATCTGCGAGTAATGCATTGCATTACGATGTTATAACACTGACAATGTTTCTAGGAGACAGAAAATTTTCAGCTCCCTTGTAATCTACTGGACCACCACTGATATGTGGTCTGTGGTTGATTGAAATATCATTAAGTGGTGCATTGTGGTGTATGAAGTAAGTGTATTCAAATATAAACTAAAAATACTAAAAATTAAAATAATATTAAGACAGGAGAAAAAAATATACCCCAACCTAAGCCAGTTTCTATAACTGACAAACTTCCTGGAAGCCATGGTAAAAATTAACAAATGGTAAGTTCCATGATTCTCATTGTCTTTTGCATGTTATCAAAGGACAAACTTTTCCCACATGATAAATTCTGTTAGAGTCAGATTGTTGATGTCTTCTGTTGATCTTGAACCAAAGACTACATACGAGAGCTGTGGCCCTGCTCTGGTCTCGCTCCCTCACTGTTTGAATAGGTAACCCAAGACTTGGGCATGTAGGATGAGCTGTGCTTGTGTGAATCAATGAATAAGTGGTAGAGATTACACTAAAAGATAGTTCTCCAGAGTCCCATGTCTGTGTTTTGCATTACAATATGGTATCTTAAAAAAAAAAATCACTACTATCCAGTGCATTCTAGAATGTTCAGATAATCTCAACCCATCTTTCCTCAATTCCATCTGATTCAATTAGTTGTGGAACCAGATCACAGAGAGTTCAAAACTGAGTGTTAGAGTAGAAGTCTAGTACATCCATGGCTTACAAACAAGTAGCAGAATGGGGGCTAGAATTCAGATCCATTCCCTTTTAGAGACTTTTTCTTTTTGCTAAAGACTATAAGATAAAAAACAGCTTTCCCCAGCTATGTATCTGGCAGGGAATTATGTTTCAAACATGTCTTAGCTATTCTATCTTATTTACTATTTTGAATAACTTTAGAATCAATTTGTCAAAGTTCTCCTAAAATCCCATTGGAATTTTGTTGGGTTTTGTTTCATCTACATTGAGTCTAACCAAAGGTTAGACAGGCCAAGAAAACCCAAAATAACAAAAAAAGCACAGAGTCAATGATGTCTAAAGATCATTTCTTTTGGTTGAAGAAATACCTGATATAAAAATAAAATAAGTCTTAGAATGACTAACATGCAAAGATTATCACCCTAAATCGATGGCTATTCTGTTCTCTCTCACCAGTTTGTTACTGCCACTCAAAAGTTTTACAGGGTAAGGCAACAAACAATATACCTCTAGGTACAAATATCTGGACTGGTTCTGGTTCCTCACCTGTTATACCAGTTAAAAAGAAGCCAGTTCATCCCCTCCAGCTGATACTCCCGGAGCTGGTTACTGTTCTTATACTCCCGAGATTTTTCGAGTTTCTGCCAGGCATCTGAAGCAGGCCGTTCCTAGGGAGAAAAGCAGAGAGCACAATACATACATAATATTTTGGGAGAATAATATGGATAATAATGACGAAGGTGGTAAATCTCAATTGCTGTTCTCACGCTAGTTTCAATCTGTAGTTACTATTTTCTGAGTAATGCACAGGCCCTATATTTTTCAGATTTTACAAGATTAATCTAAGAATAATTCTATAAAATTTACAAATAATTAAGAAGAGAAACAGACCTACCTAAAATCTTGAGAAGGGTTACACTATTTTACTTAGACTCTTAGATGTCACTCCCATTTACACTTTAATTTCCCCCATAGGCTAATATTAGGATTTTTTATTTCAATAAGCAGAATTTCTTTTTATTTCTTTGTGCCTAGAGCTACAGCTCAGGGAAGTACAGTGGGTCAAATATTTTATCGGTTAGTCTGTCTCTAGAGTTAGCACATAAAGCAAAAAATTTGTATAATCAAAATTGCAAATTCCTTATAGAGGCTGTCTTATTACTTTATTTTCCCATGTAAAACACCAGTTTCTAAAAACAGTCATCCCTCGGTATACTTGGGGAGATTAGTTCCATGACACTCTCCCACCCCCACTGCACATACCAAAATCTATGCATACTCAAGTCCTACAGTCAACCACGCAGAACCCACGTGTGAAAAGTCAGCCCTCCATATACACGGGTTTCAGGTCCTGTATTTTCAATCCGCTTTCAGCTGAAAACATCTGCATACAAGTGGACTCATGAAGCGCAAAACTGTGTTGTTCTAGGTCGGCTGTAATGCATCTTTTCTCTACTGATATATAATGCCACATTTATCATATGCTAAGTTCCAATATATCCATGGAGCTACATCTGGATTCTGGATTCTGTTCCGCTGGCTTGTTTGTCTATTACTGTAATAAAACTTTTTAATTACTGTAGCTATGTATCTGGCAGGGAATTATGTTTCAAACATGTCTTAGCTATTCTATCTTATTTACTATTTTGAATCACTTTAGAATCAATTTGTCAAAGTTCTCCTAAAATCCCATTGGAATTTCAATTAAAATTACACACAATTATTAATTTAGGGAAAATTTAAATCTGTATTGAACCTTCCCATCCAACATGGGTTTTAAAACTAGGTTTTTGTTTATTTAGGTTATTATTTGAACACAGACTTGGTTATTTTGCTGAGCTCCTAAAATGTTTTTAAACATTTTTTAGCTATGCCTGCAGTTATAGATGAGAATATTAAGATTAAAGCTTTTCTAAACAGCAATTTTAGTCTTTGGTAGTTCTACTTTTGGTTACTACAATAAAGTTTACACACCTGAAATATGTTGTTAACTAAAACTAAGCCATTTGCATGTGCGATTTAATAAAATACCCCCAATTACATCACTCATAGTTGGAGATAAATGTAAATTGTCCATGGCTTGCAGAAAAACACATGACAACTTACTTTGAAAATTACTACAGCTGTGCTTAGACTAAGCACTTTGAAATGGGAGCCTGTTGAACATTATTATTAGGACACAGTTACAGGCACTTTTAGAAATAAAGAAGGAAAGAATACATTATGCCAAAAAATTTTTTTAAAAGAAAAAGCTTTTAAGCAAGATAATCCTGTATAAATTCTCCTGCTCTGTTCACTTAAAGAAATTATCTTTTTCTTAGCAAACAGGAACCATTTAGCATGGATCCTTGAAGTTCAAACAATCCATTCCATTATGCATTCTTCCTCACTAGATACTATGGAGAGACTTTCTGGAAGCTTCTTTAGCTCTACTACTCAAGCAGCTCACTCTCGGCATTATAGACAGTATGCAGAAGAATTTCACTGTAGATTTCCACTTTGCTTCCTTGGAAGTGCTCTCGATGTAGAGGCATCACTCTCTAATCTAGTTACGCCACCGTTCTAATCTAGAACTCCATAGTTCTTTCCCCAGTGCTAAAGATTTTAGTTTTACATCATCTACTGGCCAGAAATTTCAGCCATCTAAGCCTAAGACTTGAAATGAGCTAGAAGTTTCTGATGCCTAGTCTAGATGGTTCCTAAGTGGTATAGATTACAGGATATATATTACCCCAGGGCTCCACAACCTTCAATGGCCACTTAGTTAATTTCAAAGGGGTGGGGGATTGATTCTTGCCATCTCCAATAGGGTCTCACCTAGTAAAAGACTGCTTCTTGCCCTTTACTGACACTCTTGTTTCTTCCTTTCTTGAAATTCCATATTTTACCTATAAGTAACCCATTTTTACCAAAGAGATTTTAGGTACACAATGTCCTATTCATCAAGACTGATAAGGCCATCTCTAAGCTTCAAAATTCTGATAAGATACCACAAAAAAACAGTTATTCAGGTGAAATACCATTTGGAGCCAGTCCTCTTCTTAAAATATAACAAGACAGCATTAACTATATCATTAGCCACTGTTTCAATTTAGAATTTTTAAGACAAAATTTCAAATGTACATTTTAAATGAGAATAAATTTTAAAAAAGGACAAGTGTGAAATGATACTATGGTTCACTGAGGATGACCACATCACAACAGCAAAGAAGTGAAGGAAATGAGAAGTCTCCTAAAAATACATGAGAATTCATATTCTTGCCAAATGCAGTCAGGTTGAAGAACCAAGTGGGAGTTGAGCTGAGAGAGAATGGGTGAGAATCTTGATTGCTTCTAGATGATAACTGACAATTAACTTTAGAATGAAATTCTCTCTGCTCCCACACTGGTCTCTGCATTGCACCACATGCTACAGTTTGCCTGGTGCTGTATTTGTCTATGTGCGCACATGCTTCTTCTCTTCTATTAGACTGTGAGCTCCTGAGGGCAAGGCCTGTTAGGTACCTTGTTTCTTATTACATCTCACATAAGAATCAATTTATAGGCCGGGTGCGGTGGCTCACGCCTGTAATCCTAGCTCTCTGGGAGGCCAAGGCGGGTGGATTGCTCAAGGTCAGGAGTTCGAAACCAGCCTGAGCAAGAGCGAGACCTCGTCTCTACTATAAATAGAAAGAAATTAATTGGCCAACTAACATATATAGAAAAAATTAGCCGGGCATGGTGGCGCGTGCCTGTAGTCCCAGCTACTCAGGAGGCTGAGGCAGGAGGATCGCTTGAGCCCAGGAGTTTGAGGTTGCTATGAGCTAGGCTGAAGCCATGGCACTCACTCTAGCCTGGGCAACAAAGTGAGACTCTGTCTCAAAAAAAAAAAAAAAAAAAAAAAATCAATTTATAGGCCAGGCGCAGTGGCTCACGCCTATAATCCTAACACTCTGGGAGGCCAAGGCAGGTAGACTGCTCGACGTCAGGAGTTAGAAACCAGCCTGAGGAAGGGCGAGACCCTGTCTCTACTATAAATAGAAAGAAAATTAATTGGCCAACTAATATATGTAGAAAAAATTAGCCGGGCATGGTGGCGCATGCCTGTAGTCCCAGCTACTCGGAAGGCTAAGGCAGTAGGATTGCTTGAGCCCAGGAGTTTGAGGTTGCTATGAGCTAGGCTGAAGCCACGGCACTCACTCTAGCCTGGGCAACAAAGTGAGACTCTGTCTCAAAAAAAAAAAAAGAATCAACTTATAGCAGATGCTTAATAAATTACTAACAAATAGAATGAAAAGCAAAAAACAGTGTATACATAGGAGGGTTGAAAGAGGAATTTAATAATCAATCATGTAGACAAAATGCCATAAACTGTGTAAGTTTCTAAGCACAGTTCTGCATCTCAAAATATGTCTATTTACTTTTCATATACCAAAAAACCCTAAAACAAACAAATAAAACTCTGAAACAAAACACTGCTCTTGAATGGACTTTGACAGTGATCTAAGTTCAATGTTGAGGTCTAGTCTTCTGAGTCTGAACTTTCCAGTGATGCAAAAGCAAAAAATACTATTAATAAGAAACTGGATAATAGTTTTTCATATAAAAATGATTTTTTTAAAAAATAGAAACTGATCATTCTAGCCTATAACCATATATTTTAACAACTGATCCTCTCTCCAAGTTAGTTACACTTTAACAAAGCCCTAATCCCATCTCTTCCTCCTTTTAATTATTGACACTCTATATATGACTGTTTCTTAGGCACCCTAGGGCAGCGGTCCCCAATCTTTTTGGCACCAAGGACCAGTTTCACAGAAGACGAATTTTCCACAGCCTGCAGGGAAGAGGGGCAGAGCTCAGGCAGTGATGTGAGCAACGGTGAGAACAGCTGTAAATACAGGTGAAGTTTTGCTCACTTACTTGACCTCCGCTCACCTCCTGCTATGAGCCCACCACCCACCAAGTTTCATGGAAGACTATTTTTCCATGGAGGGGAGAGGGAGGAGTGGTGATCTGTAATAGGCCATGGACTGGGTGTTGGGGACTGCAGCCCTAGGGCATCTTTGCAGTTGTGTGGTAATAATCCAAGATCAGAAAAACAAACTGATCCAATAAATGTATACTGAAAATCTATGCTCTCTCTGCGAGGTCCCAGGCATCTACAGATAAAAGACAATTCTTCCACTTAAGAATTTTCCAGTTGAGTGAAGAAGGATAAAAGCAAAGAGGTCACTGATGGAGCAAGAGAGAAGAAATAGGAAATAGGAAAGCTACCATCTATCTACAGAGCTACTTTCACATGCCAGGCATTTCTTATACATTCTGTCTTACTGACTCCACACAACAGCCATACATCAAGAAATCTAAGCCCATATCCAAGCTTCTTAAATGCTGCATACATCAACTAAAGCCAAGACCTAAAGCTGACTGGGATGCTCGCAAAGTGTGATCTGGGGACGAAAACATCCTGAACTATAGGTTTGATGGGGGGAGTGATAAAGGTAAAATACTGCAAAAATCACTTAGGAAGACAGTGGACTTCCATAACTGCAAAGTTCATAAAATTACATGTTCCAAGAGGAGACAGGAATACTTTACCACATGCTTAATTTCAGGAAGAATTTGAAGAGATTCAAATTCTTTAACTTTTGCAGGATCCACGTCTTCCTCTAGCTCCCATGTGCTTTCTTCGTATGGCAGTGAGCACCACTTCACCAGGTAATGTGTCACTTCCTGGTGGGAAACAAGAGAGAAAACTTAATGTTCTTTTGGAATCAATCATACTCTGCCAATCTCTGAAAAACCACCCTATATGACAATACATAAATACCATTAAAACATAGGCTATATGTTAACAAAACAAGCAAATGTGTAGAAAGAAGGGAAGATGCTTTAGGAAAGACAAACACCTACCTCCCCTGTTTCTGCATCTTTGGTATGGGCCACCTCCAAGATGCGATCAACTTCTATATAGTCTGGATTGAACAAGTCTTCATCAGGCTAACATAAACAGAAGAGAACAGTTAAGAAGTATGAACCTTCCCTCAAATGCAACAACTAGGGTTTCACCTTTAAGTGACCCCATCTCTGGGCTCTATCAGCAAGCACAGAAAGAAAGGGTTTGCTTGCAAATAAAGTAACTTCACAGACATTTTTTCAGTGCCCCCAAATCCTGCTCTCCATGACTAAATTCAAAGGATCCAACCATCTCAGAGGCTGCACCGTAGCCAGGAAATACTTCCCTGTTGGGCATTACCGGAGTGAGCAATAATCAGCACAAGAAGGGTTCTCTTCTCCTTACTGTTCCTTGTTCCTAGTAGAACCTTAGCAACTAGGAATTAGTTTCTTTTTCTTCTTAATAACAAGAATGGCAACAGCCAACATTGGAAGGGGACATGGGGGAAGCTTCCTGGGTACTAATAATGTTCTATTTCCTGACCTATGTATTAGTTACACAAGTGCATTTACTTTACAACAATTCACTGAGATCTTCACTTAGGATTTGCTTACTACTCTTTATGCACATTATTCTTTTTAAAAAGTTTACTTATAAAACAATAATAAGCACCATCTGGAGTAGTGCTAAGTGCATTCAGTTAAGTCTCAAAATTATCACATGGAGGAGATGCTACAATTACTTTACATATGAGGAAACTGACTCAGAGAGGCCAGGTAATATGGCCAAGTCACAGAGCTACATAAACTGAACATTCATCCAGGTCTTTATGATCCAGAAGTCCTTCTCCAGGACTGCTGGAATGTTCTTACTTCCTCTTAGGCTGGAAGGCACTTTAGGGGCTACCTAGTTTCATTGTCTAATCAATACAAAAATACTTTTTATGGCCACCCTGGCAAACCCACCCTCAGATTAAATTATTCCTGTTAAGAAATTTATCACCTTCTAATATCTGATCCACTCTTAAAATAACTTTACCTCTCTCTACCTGTTTAAGTCATATCATGCTCTTTACCATTATTATTACTAAATTATAGCCTAATTTCCTTCCTTGTAACTGTCACTAATTGGTGTGAACTGCTTCCTCTACAGCAGCAGTAGGTAATTTGATTCTTTCCTGTGTATCTCAATGATACAGAGAGCTATTACTTATGGAATAGTGACCATGAGCCAGGCACCATGCTAACCATTTCTATAAGCATTGTGTCATTTATGGTTCACAATAGCCAAGATATGGAAACAACCTATGTGTCCACCGAGGGATGAATGGATAAAGAAAGTGGGGTGTATACATACATACAACAGATTATTCGGCCTTCAAAAAGGAAATTCTGTTATTTGCAACAACATGGATGAACCTGAAGGACATTATGCTAAGTAAAATAAGCCAGACACAGAAAGACAAATACTGCATGATCTCACTTATATGTGGAATCTAAAATAATCAAAGTCATAGAAGCAGAGAGTAAAATGTTGTCTGCCAAAGGTGAAGGGAAGGGGTAAATGGGGAGATATTAGTCAAAGGGTACAAAATTTTAGAAATACAGGATGAATAAGTTCTGGAGATATAATGTACAGCATGGTGATGACAGTTAAAAATACTGTATTGTATATTTGAAATTTGCTAAGAGGATACATCTTAAGAGCTCTTACTCTAAGGAAAAAAAGAAAGAAAATGATAACTATGTGAGGTGATAGATATGCCAATTAGCTTGACTATAATGATCATTTCACTATGTATACATACATGAAAACATTAAGTTATATACCTTAAATAGATACAATCTTTGTCAACTATACATCTATAAAGCTAAAAACAGTAACAGCACTGTTACCTGATCCTCCCAGGGATTCTGTAAGGTAGGTTCTGAGTCCTACTTTACACATATGAGGACACTGAGTTTGGCGGAACTTATGCAAGTGGCCCAAGGCCACCCAGCTGAGGGTGAGGGGGAGGGTGATGGGCAGTCTGACTGCAAGGCCTAGGCTCTCACACGGTTGGGTCCACTCTCCACCTCTGCTCTCAATAACCCTGCTACGCCTCTGCCCCCGGCCACTGTTAGTCTTCCCTCAGGTTTTACAAAGTCCCTCACGGAATCCTGGCACCCAAATGAACGTAACACTTAGGGATGAAATGACTGTAACAGCAAGACTGTTCTGTTGGTGCAGTCCAGGATTGGTGTTACTTTTTTTAAACACCCACACTGTATTCTTGGCGCACAGTAAACTTGTAGGTAATTACACTAGCAATATCTTTTCTTTTAGAACTGCTATCCAGTCACTTTCCTCATTTCGAAATTGTAAAGAGTCTTAAAAGACCAATGTAGGACATTACATTTATTCCCACATTTTATTCATTCTAGCCTGTCCAGGTGAACCTAGACTTTGTGTCACTGATTCTAATCTGGTTAGAAAGGATGTAGTCAGAAGGCTTCTGCCTCTGTGTTGTGTGGGAACGTGCAGCCTCTAGAGGCTGAGCCTCCTCCACATGTGCCTTGGCTACCTCATAAAGCAACTGGAAACAAGGGATATGAACATGCTCTACTCAGAACTGAGTTACTATTTAGATCATAAGAATATTATTTATCCAAGTTACTAATAAAAATGTTGTATAAGTCAGGACCAAAGGCAATGTTATAGGAAATGCTTGCCACTATTACCTCCTCAAATGTCTTCCCTTCCCACGAGAATATGAACTCTTGTTACATTATGTTTACACCCTAACACAGTTTCCCTTCTCTATTCCTAACCAAGGAAAAACCACTCCCTTGGGAATCTATCAGAAGATACACACACAGGTTGTATAGGCTATGTTCAGGAATTTGGACTTTATTTCAAGAAAATGGAAAGTTCTAAAAGGCCTGAAACCGGGGAATGCTGTAAGGCAAAACCTCCTCCCTTACCTAGGGGGCAGCCAAATAATTACTGAGCACTGACCCTGTGCCTAGTCCCAGTGACAGAAATAGGAGGATGACATGGGCTCTGTCTCACAGAGCTTAAATGGAAGAAAAAGACACACAAACAAACGTCACTACACTGCAAATACTTGCTAAAATAAAGATGTGACTAAAATGTTCCAAGAAGTATGGAGAGTATCCAATGGGGCTTTGAGAATGGTTCCTCCAACTCTAGTTGTCACCTTGCTTTCTTCAGTTGTCTATTAGAGGAACACCGCCATGAAAACAGTTCTTATGGGCTTTAAAACAATCACGGAGAAGGCTAGGCCAATCTTTAAAGCTAAATAGGAAGTATCTCCAATTGGGATAAGGAAAATGTTTACTGACATTATACTAAAATGTTTACTGACATTATACTAAAATTTTATGACTAGAGGAAAAGGAGTACAATATGAATAAGCTGGCATGTGTGTGCAGCAGTTCACTCGAACTTAATGGTATTTGAGTAAACACTTAGGATCTAGCACTAATGACTTTACATTTTAAAAGTAATTTTTATTGCTTCTTGTTGTCAAAAGTTACCTGTATAAAACTGAAAACTACATGTTAAAAAAAGGAAGAAAACAGAATTTATCACAATTTTTATTAACTATACAGTATATCGTTCTGTGGGATTTATCATAAACCAACAAATGCCTATTACCTAATAGTCTATTTTCAATTTTTCACCAATATAAACAACACTTTATCATAGCAAGTCTTCATGCAAAGACTTGATAATTTTGTTAAAATAAATGACAGAATCAGAATTTCTGGGACAAAAGAAATGTAAATTTTAGGACATTTGATGCCTGTTGCCACACTGTTCTCGTAAGAGGTCATGCCAAGTTATGCTCCCACTCAGTGATGTACAGAATGTGAATTCCCTACACCCTCTCCAGCAATGGATAATATGCCTGGTTCTTAAAACCTTCAAACATTTGAGAAATGAACACTAGGAGACTCCCATTTGAATGTGCACTTCTTTGAATACTGTGATTGACTATATTTTGGTCAATGGTCAATTTTTCCTTCCTTCCTTCTTTTTTTTCCCTTTCTTTTTCAGATAGAGTCTATTGCCTGGGCTAGAGTGCTGTGGTGTCAGCCTAGCTCACAGCAACCTCAAACTCCTGGGCTCAAGGAATCCTCTTGCCTCAGCCTCCTGAGTAGTTGGGATTATAGGTGTGAGCTCCCATGCCTGGCTAATTTTTTCTATTTTTAGTAGAGATGGTGTCTCACTCTTGCTCAGGCTGGTCTCAAACTCCTGAGCTCCTGAGATCCTCCTGCTTCAGCCTCAAAGAGTGCTAGCATTATAGGTGTAAACTACCACGCCTGGCCAATTTCTTCTTCTTTCTCAATTCCGTGTTAATTTGTCCATTTCTATTTAGGGTTTTATATTCTTCTTATTAAGTTATAAGAGCATTTCTTTTCATTAAGGTTATCTGTCACATGTATGTATATAACTTATGTGTGTGCATGTGTAATATAAATAGAAAGGTTTCTAATTGGATAAGAATAACATATATCATATAAATATGTTCATAGATGCAATGAGAAAAAATGGTTATGTACATAATATATATACATATTTTCTAATACTTAAGATGTGTATGTAGTACTTTCTGATAGGTAGTACCTATAGATTTGTTTAATATTCAAATCCACCAGTTGTTCCTCTTGCTTTAGGTATAATATTTAGAAATTCTCAAGTTTATATAAATAAAATTATTTATTGTTTACTTATTTTCTAACACTTTCAGCTTTGTCTTTTACATTGAAACTTTAAGTCTTTTTGGAATGTCTTTGGCGGGGGCAGGGATGAAGAATAAGAATTGTGTGCATATTTCTCTCACTGTAGCTATTTATTAGTATTCAGACCAAGATGCATGTTCTTATGAGTTATCAGTTTATAAGGTTTAATCCTTATACCTGGGTCCATAATTTTTCTGGTGGTTTAAATCAACACTAGTTTTGCAGCAAATCAGCACACACTTATCAATTTGACTTGAGCAATAGATCTGTATAGGCTATCAACTTGGACTTAGAAACTTAAACCCAGTATTTAATGCTGCAAGAAAAGCAGCAGTCAAATGAGTCAGTAAATATTGCTTCACCTCGGTAAAAATGTGCTTCATCTGGGCTTGTTTATTCCTAAATCGCTTGATCTTCTGTGCGATGCGAGGATCCTTTTCGAGCTCTTCCATTGTGGCCCATTTACAATGTAAGTAGGAACTATCCAAAGACACACAAATTGTGAGACAAGCACATAGCTAGCAAATGATTGAGCTTTAAGGTGTTCAATAAACAGGGTGACCATCTAACACAGAAACAGTGGAATGGTTTGTTGTGAAACTGCTGGAGATTGGGCTTAGAAAGGCCTTGTCCTTAAGGGCAACAACAGAAAACAAAACAAAATGGAATAATTCCAAGCAAGTGATCTCTGCACCTTCTACAGAAAATGGCTCAGCATAGAGGAGGGCAGGTGTGGGCAACTTATCATTAACACACATTAGTGAAAGTGGGCAGGTAGCATAAAGGAAAAAGACGTAAGAGAGAAAAAGAGTATATGCCATAGGACAGTGGTTCTCTTCCCTGGGTGCAAGTGAGAATTGCCCACAGAGTTTTTTTAAAACCCCAATTCTTAAGACCCATTGAGTACGAGTCAGTTGGTCTTGGGTGGAGCAAGGGCTTCAGTAGTTTTAAAAAGCTCTCTAGGTAATTCCATGTGTAGCCAAAGTTGAGCATTACTGCCTAAGGTGAACTTGAGTCCACCAAGATCTACGGGTCACACCTTAGGGGCCAGTTTCTTAAGATACAGAATATAATAAAGTCACAAGGGAAAGCAAGTTTTATCCATATAAAATCCAAACACATATAATACTTTACATAGACGTACAAATTTCTGTACTTAACGTAGAATAGCTCCAACTCGAATGGAGGTTCTCCTGGGTGAACCTGCAACCAACAACAAGCAGTTATCAGCCCAGATCCTAGGCAGATCATCCTTACATGCCAAAAGAAAACAGGTAATCAACACTTTTGTCTGGTTTTAATAAAGATTTCTTGAGGATATTTTCATTTTCCAAGTCTTTTCCTGACAACTATTGATCAGGTTTTTCAAAGGCTGAATACATAGTTATAAAGTAAAAAAAAAAAAAAAGACCTTCCTGGTGTTCTTCCAAGGTCCAGGCTAGGATAGTGTTCAGCTGATCAACCCAAACTGGCCCAAGGCTCTTAGAAATGTCAGGAACAGAGCCTAGTGCAGAAGTAACCACATTTATCTCTTGTGTCTTCTCAGACCCTTATCCCTGAAATACCAATGGTATTCCAAGTAAGAAAGTTTACTTTCATAAATACTTTAAGTAAAGATGAATATACTCTCCCACTCTAGGAATTTTTTCTATAAGAGTCCTACAATGGCTCTGAGATGTCTAAGGAAAAAAAAAAATCCACATTTCTATTAGGACTCTTTTTCCATTTCTTCTTCTCGGCCCTCTGATGACTTACACTGGGCTCTGGCAACTAAAGCATAAACACCTTTTGCTAGAATCACAATGGAGAAAATAATCAGTTGAACCCATTCTAGATATGTTAAGAATTTTATGTCCTAAAATCCTCCATGGGGGTAAAAGTAAATGTTGACTAGCCAGGCAATATTCTTGCCTTTCTCTCACTCCAGCCAAGGATGACCATTCCAGGATTTCTAGCCAATTATCTCTTTATAAAGGGTGTAATTTGTGCTAGTGATATAAAAGCCAGAAACATGAGCCACTGACCTCCTGGACAGTCTTAGATGCCAGGATCTTCTCAATGATGTTTGCATCATCTTCTGGAGGCTCCTGGAGACAAAAATGAAAAAGAAAAAAAATTGTTGGAACCACGGAATCCAAGAAAAGAATTCTATAAGAAATAACTACAGTGGGTACTACTTCATTCAAAAGTTCACCTTTGAGTACCGAGGCCTCCCTCCTATCAGCCCACAGAGTGGTCAAAAGATCACAAACATTTTGCAAAGCTAGAATTCAAAGGTGACACCACTATGGCTAGGCGAGGTGGCTCACGCCTGTAATCCTAGTACTCTTGGAGGCAGAGGCAGGAGGATAGCTTGAGATCAGGAGTTTGAGACCAGCCTGAGCAAGAGCAAAACTCCAACTCTATTTACAAAATAAATAAATAAACAATACATAAAAATAAAACTGGTCCCAGGACTTACCTTCTCTGTGAAACTATCTACATGTTTCTGCGTAAAATTTTCAGAAAGCTATGAAAGAAAAGAATCTGGGGGCCTTAGAATTAGGCAGTCACAATTCTAACATCTACCAGCTTTTCACTTTGGATAAATCAATTAACACCTCTTGGTTTCCAAACCCATTAAAATAGGAGTTAAAAATATGTAATTCACTGAGTTACTGGGAGGATAAAATGGTATGTGAAAAAAATTTTTGAATAGCAAGCACTATGCAAAAACAAGTTATTGTCTACTAAATTGTACCATCTTTCCTCTCTGTACCTGGAAATAGCTTTCTGTTTCCCTGATCATCCTAGCAATGTAAATCCCAATTGAAAACAAATAAATTCCTTCCTTCCTGTCCTAGTTACACATCAACATTCTAAGTTCCTAATCTCCATGAAATCTTTCTACAGAGTATTTATGATAAAAAAAAAAAAAAACACCTGCATTAAAAATGATAAACTTGGCCAGGCGTGGTGGCTCACACCTATAATCCTAGCACTCTGGGAGGCCGAGGCTGGCAGATCGCTCAAGGTCGGGAGTTTGAAACCAGCCTGAGCAAGAGTGAGATGCCGTTTCTATAAAAATAGAAAGAAAATTACTTAGCCAACTAAAAATATATAGAAAAAATTAACCGGGCATGGTGGCCCATGCCTGTAGTCCCAGCTACTCGAGAGGCTGAGGCAGGAGGATTGCCTGAGCCCAGGAGTTTGAGGTTGCTGTGAGCTAGGCTGACGTTACGGCACTGTAGCCCAGGCAACAGAGTGAGACTCTGTCTCCAGATGCACCAAGTCAGAACACTCATGTTTAACATTCTTCCAGGACTTTGAGCAGTTTTATTTCCCAGTGGTTTCATATGCACTATGACCTTTCCAAATCACAATACGAGACTTAAAACAGTATGTGAAAAGAACACTCATCATAACAACCCTAACTGGCAAATTAACTATTCTAAGTTCCTAATGGGAACATCCCAGAAGGATGGTTTGTGTTGCATATCACCTTCAGCCTACCCATTCTAGGGCTCAAAGCCATACAATTACAAAACACATTACATTTCTTAAGATCTTAAATCAAGCTTTTCCCAGACAAGTGATGGTTTAAAAAAAAAAAAAGAGGGCAAATTGCAGACAAGAATTATGGAAATCAGCAAGCAGGCACAGACAGATGCTCCTAAAGGTTACAAATATTTACTAAGCAACTTCAGATACATGGCAATGTGCTAGATGCCATCCAGAAATTAGTATAATTCAAAATGACAAAAATCCTTTCTCATTGCTCAACAAGAAGGCAACTGAACTATAATTATTATATAATAGAAGGAAGGGGTGGGAATACAGACTAAGCTTTTGTTTCTTTCTTTTAAGTACTTGGTCTGCTTGGTTCTTAAGATAATTAAGGAAAGGAAAAGGAGACAGTTTATTGTCTGTTGCCTGTCTTCTCCCTTTACAGTGCAACCTTCTGAGGGCGGGATCCTTCTCTTATACACAGATAGCTAACTGGCCTAGAAAGGGTCAAGCAAAAATGGCTAATCAAAAGGTATTTGTTGAATGCTAAACAAAGAGAAAGAGGAAAAGAGAGAGAGAAGGAAATACAGTGAGGAAATAAGGCATCAAACTCTCTGAGATCACAGACTGGAGACAGCTATTTTTCTTGATCTACATCATTAAATTTAAGTCTCCCCCTTTTCCATACACCTAGACTTAAGGCAAGTGGGCAGTGAGTAAAGGAAAAGGTGCTAGCTTAAGAGAAACTAGATTAATGAGCCAACTTCCTTCCCAAATTCCTACTTCACTTGCTTCTTAAATATTTATTCCACATTCCTTTTATTGAGGGCCTTTTATGTGTATGCACTGGTTTTACAGTAGTAAATGAGATATGTACCGTCTTCACCATCAAGGAACTATCAGATATGCTAACATCATGCTTAGTTACTGAGGCATACTTACAGTATACACAAATCTCAACTGTGTATCTTGATGAATTTTTACATATACACATGCACATTTATATAACTACCTCCCAGATCATGTTATTATACACAACCTTTCCAGCATTCTGAAAGACCCTTGTGTACCCACTGGAAGTAACTAATATTCAGGCTTCTACCACCACAGATTAGTTTTGCCTGTTAAACTTCATGTAAATGGAATCATATAGTATATATTAGGTTGGTGCAAAAGTAACTGCGGTGTTAGCATTGTTGAAATTTGCCATTTGATATTGGAATACATTCTTAAATAAATGTGGTTATGTTATATATCATTTTAATGCACAGTTCTCACTTTATGTTTTTTTGCTAATGACTCATTACTTGCTGTTTATTTTATATTTATTTTAGACTATAGAAATGATGTTAGACAAAAAGCAAATTCCAGTGATTTTCTTATTCAAGTTCAAAATGGGCCATAAAGCAGCAGAGACAACTCATACCATCTACAATGCATTTGGCCCAGGAACTGCTAACAAACATACAGTGCAGTGGTGGCTCAAGAAGTTTTGCAAAAGAGAGAGAGCCTTGAAGATGAGCTCAGTGGCCAGCCATCAGAAGCTGACAATGACCAACTGAGAGCAGTCACGGAAGCTGATCCTCTTACAACTACACCAGAAGTTGCTGCAGTACTCATGGTCGACCATTCTATGGTCATTCAGCATTAGAAGCAAATCGGAAAGGTGAAAAAGCTCGATAAGTGGGTACTTCATGAGATGACTGAAAATCAAAAAAAAATTTTGTTTTGAAGTGTTGTCTTCTCTTATTGTACATGACAATGAACCATTTCTCAATAGTATCGTGACAAAAAGTGGATTTTATATGAGTGATGACCAGCTCAGTGGTTGGACTAAGAAGCAGCTCCAAAGCACTTCCCAAAGCCAAACTTGCACCAACAAAAGGTCATGGTCACTGTTCGGTGGTCTGCTGCCCATCCGATCCATAGCTTTCTGAATCCCAGTGAAACCATTACATCTGAGAAGTATGCTCAGCAAATCGATGAAATGCACCAAAAAGTGCAATACCTGCAGATGGCATTGGTCAACAGAAAGGGCCCGATTCTTCTCCATGACAATGCCCAACTCATGTCATACAACCAACGCTTCAAAAGTTGGATGAACTGGGCTATAAAGTTTTGCCTCATCCACCATATTCACCTGACTTCTCCCCAACCAACTACTACTTCTTCAAGGATCTTGACAACTTTTTGCAGGGAAAACGCTTCCATAAACAGCAGCATGCAGAAAATGCTTTCCAAGAATTCATCGAATCTCAAAGCACAGATTTTTATGCTACAGGAATAAGCAAACTTATTTCTCGTTGGCAAAAATGTGTTGATTACAGTGGTTCCTATTTTAATTAATAAAGACATGTTTGACCCAGTTATAATGATTTAAAATTAGTCTAAAAATGCAATTACTTTTGCACCAACCTCATACTTTTGTAATATTCTGTAGTATCTTGTAATATAAATACATCACTATTTTATTTATCCACTATATTGGAAAGGAATATTTAGGTTGCTTCTAATTTTTGTACTATGCATAAAATTCACGATATCCTCCATCAGTTTAGAAATTCTTGGTCATCAATTATATCTTCTAATGCTACTCTGCTCCAATCTCTATGTCTAGGAGTCTAATCAGAAATACATTAGATATTTTAACTGCATCCTACTTGTCTCTCTCATGCTTTTACTTTTTGCTCTGTTCTAGCCATTCATTTTTCTCTGTGAGGTTCAGTTTAAACTTTTTCCATTGATCTGTCTTCATATTTACTAATCTTATCTTCTACTGTATGTAATCTACTTTTAAACCCATCCACTGGGTTCTGAATTTTACAAATTGAAATTTTCCATTCTAGACTGTTGATCTGATTCTCTTTATAGATTTAATTCTTTGTTGGAAGTCTTCACTTAAAATTTATCTTGTCCATCTTTTCCACTATTTTCTTTAACATGTTAATTGTAGGTATTTTAAAGTTCTTTCCTGCTAACTCCGATATCTGGAGAAGCAGACACCTGGGGTCTGCTTCTTTTAATATGATAAGCTTATTCTCTGGTTTTCAGCCACATTTTCTAGCCTCTTCAAACATCTAATAATCTTTTATTGTATGTTAGACATTGTAGATAAAAAAGCAGCTCCAAACAATATTTTCTACCACAAGGGTTTCCTATTTTCTCTTAGATAAATGGGAGGGGGGATCTCCTTGATCCAGTCAGGGATTGAGTTTGGTCAGGACTGGGTTACTAAAATTCAATTCAATCCCCTTCTTGTTTTACCCTGTTCCTAGAGCACGAATGCCTGGAAGGTCTTTTTTCTCTTAAGCCCTAACATATATAGAGGTTCTGAGCTTAGCTTTTTAGTCTCCAACCCCAAACAGGTTAAAAATTTCACAAATATCTTAAGGGAGTATCAGTGTTTTGTGATAGGTCCATCCCTCTAGTGAGATGTTTTGTCTCCAAAGTACTGGGAGACTGTGAGATTTCAATCTGCCTTCTGGATGAACTCCTAGCTTCCTAGGATGCTCCAGAATTTAGCAAAAGTCTCTTGGAGAAATCCCCTTGCTTTGGGGATTCCTTTAGTTTCCAAACAGTTCACCATTCCTGTATAATCACC